ACAACCCAGCAATTGTACTACTGGGTATTTACCCCAAAGATACAAATGTAGTGATCCGAAAGGGTATATGCACCCCAATGTTCATAGCAGCAATGTCCACAATAGCCAAACGTGGAAGGAGCCCAGATGTCCATCGACACATGAATGGATAAAGAAGATGTGGTCCATATTACTCAGCCATCAGAAAGGATGAATACCTACCATTTACATTGACGTGGGTGGAACTGGAGGGGATTTTGTTGAGCGAAATAAGTCAGAGAAAGACAATTATCATATGGTTTCACTCATATGTGGAATAGAAGAAACAGTACAGATGATCATAGGGAAAGGGAGGAAAAACTGAATGGGAAGAAGTCAGAGAGGGAGACAAACCATGAGAGACTCTTAATTCTAGGGAACAAACTGAGGGTTGTTGGAGGGGTGAGGGGTGGAGGGATGGGGTAACTGGGTGATGGGCATTGAGGGCACGTGATGTGATGAGCACTGGGTGTTATATTATATGCAACTGATGAATCACTGACCTCTACCTGTGAAACTAATGATGTACTCTCTATGGTGGCTAATTGAATCTAAAAATAAAAAAAATAAAAACAAAAATCTGCTATCTTGCCAGCCGAATTTTGAGCCGGTGAGATATTTTATACATGTAAGCTAACATTCAAAACCTCTTTGGCTGTTTTTTTCCTATGCTTGGTTCAGTTCCAGTAAACTACCCTCCACATCATCATCTCCGGGAGTCCTATTAAAATGCACCTTCCTCAGACCTAGAGCATCTGAGTCCCAAGCAGGGTCTGGAAGTTTGCATTTTATTTTATTTATTTATTTATTTTAAAGATTTTATTTATTTATTTGACAGAGTGAGAGAGCATAAGCAGGGGGAGCGGCAGAGGGAGAGGGAGAAGCAGGCTCCCCGTTAGCAGGGAGCCTGATGTGGGGCTCGATCCCAGGACCCTGGGATCATGCCCTGAGCTGAAGGCAGATACTTAACCATCTGAGCCACCCAGGCGCTCCATGGGAGTCTGCATTTTATCATCACCCTCCCCGGATGATTCTTCTGTGTGCTAGGGTTTGTAAAGGTCTCTAAGATCTAATGGGCAGGGTGTGGCATGGTTTAAAGGAACTCCTGTTGAGGTGACCTCTTACAGATAGGACACCAGGTGCGGAAAACTGCCCCTTAAGCCTTTCTGTAATTTGTGGAAAAGTCAGGTTGGTTAATAAGCATTTCGCAGAGACTTGCAAAAATCAAACAAGGGAAAATGCAAATGTGAAAGTAATTATATTTCAAGCCAGTGTGGGTGGTTTTAAAATCTTAAAAGGAGGTATGGCCTGCCTGAGACAATTTTGGGAGAAGCTGCTTCAGCAAATCAGGGGCTGAGAGCAATGTTTCCTGAACATTAAAGAGGGCGGTCGGGAGAGTGGGAACTGTCTGGGGGCACAGGCTTTTAATCCTCCCAGATCTGTTTTGTGCCCAAAGCTGATGCTCGATTAGACGGGTCCTTGGTGATCAGCAACAGAACTGGGCCAGCTGTCTCGGGCAAACTGCGAATTTGGGGGGAAGGCTTTTGAGGAGGGGTCTGGGGGATCGCCTCTCCAGAGGCTTGGCTGTGGGAACCCACACAGGGTTTGGGCTTTAGAGCTGCCGTTGTGATGGATGTGACTTTCGACTGACTACCTTTCTGTGGTCATTTGCTCGCAGAGAGGGCCGATCTGGCTCCTTCCCCTTTGTGGGAGGCGCTGGTGGCTGCCTCCTCCGGGAAGTTCTGCAGGAGGGCAGTGGGGCCCGAATAAGAATGGGATAGATGCTAAACAGACCCAGCCAATGCAAACCCAAACCAGAAGCAAAAACAGAGAAAGAAAGGAAAAGACCACCTGCAATGCCTCTAGAGTTAGATTATTTAGGGTCAGATCCTGGATCCGTCACTTGCTCTTTGATCTTCTTCTGTGCCTCAGCTTACTGCTCTGTAAAATGGGGATGTATCTGGCCCCGATCCCTCGTAAGGATTAAACATTTGGGCAAGTGTCGGGCCCAGGGTCAGGGCTTGCATGTGCCTGCAGACCTGTGAGCGTCTCTCTCTGCGCACACGCATTTGATACCATTTCTGTTGTTTTCCTTCAGGCTGCCTGTTTCCTATCACATCTTGATCTTGCCGCCCACAGTTTTGCCTGTCTCTTTGTTCCTTGGGAATTTGGCCCCACAGCTGATGAAGGGACATGACAGTCTGGTTTTGTAGATGGGCCTCTGCGGATGGAAGGAGCCGGACGGATGGGCCCCGGGGTTTCCAGCGCCCAGTCTCGCTCCCAGATCACCGGTCCCTTTCTCTCCTGTGGGGCCTTGTCTTTCCATCGGGCGCTCGAGCCCGTCACAGTTTGCTGCGGCCTTTGGCTTTTAACGAGGGTACTGAGCAAGGCTAACTTGCCTCTTGGCCTTTGTTTCCTTCCCACCTCTTCATGGAGGTGTGGGGCTCGTTCCGACTCTCTTCCCAAAGCCTCTGCCTTTCAGAGGGCAGGTAGAACCTCGTGGAGGGAACGGCATCTGATGAGGGGATGACGCAGGCTCAGGGTAAGGCACACGGCAGAACTATCTTAAGGTTCCAGAGTGACGCTTACACATTTATATGCTTTGTGAATACGGAACATCTTTGTCCTCTTAGCAGCGAAATGATTCATTGTAGTTTGGTTTTGTTTCCTGTTAAGGTCACTTGCCCTTCCTTAATCTGGCCTCTGTGGCGGTATGGTCCATGCATGAGACTCTTTTTTCCTTCCGGGAGCGTTTCGTGTTGTGTGGTTATTGTGGTGATAGGTGGTTGTGACTGTAAATTAGTTGATTCGTTCGCAGGGGCCAAGAATACATGAAAGTGTCCGTGGTCAGAGTCTCTCTCCTGCTCCTGCCCCCATCCCTCGGTGCCCCAGCTCCTTACCAGCAGGCAGACGCCCACTGTATTAGAACTTTGCACTTCCTTCCAGGTTTGTCTTACGCACATATAAATATATGTTATTTCCCCCTTTTTAAACAGATGGTAGCATACTATATATCCGCAGCGTTCCATACTTTGCCTTTCTTTGACTCAACATATACACACACATCTTTAGGTGTAAGTATACAAAGAGGTGTCTCGTCCTTTTTTATAGTGGCAGAATATCCCGTCATAACGGTGTACCATGATTTCTTTAAGTACTTCCCCACAGATGGAGATTGAGGCTTCCTGATGGATTTTGAGATGAAGGTTCTGGATAAGGATGAATGAGTAGAATCCATATTGATGGATGCAGCTGAAATGAAGTTCAAGGTTGAGCATGGTCTTGTGTTGTTCACAGAGGGTGTCCTCTAAAATGGTAAGACTGTTGCAGTAGTCCACTAAGCTTTGCATAGGTAATTTTGGAAATCGTAGAATAATCAAGGAGAATTGCATACATTTTTCAATTAGCAATAACCACGCCTCGGATAAACCACATTGGCTACGATCATTTTGTAAGCTAGTGGGTTCCTGGTCGTGGAAAATAATGGGTTATTCTTTAAAAAGATTGTGTTCTGAGTCCAGCCAGATGTATCTAGATGCATAAGGTTGATAAAGGGACATAAGGAATCAATGCCCATCATTCAGAATAAGTTTAGAAAAGTTTCACGGTCAGGAAAATGTTCCTCGGAGATAAATAACCCACTTTTCCATCTGTTCCTATTTTAGTAGATGCCTTAATGGGTTAGATTTGAAAGTGCAAGGAAGGCAGGGTTATAACTTTCTTAACATAGTCACTGACACGTTGTAGCTCATAAATATTTGCTTTGAATGGAGAGCATGATCAAAGAATTTTAAAGTATGGTAAAGACGGCCGTATAAATCTATTACTGTATATGTTGTTATGGAAGTGTATATATTAAAGCATTAATACCAAGTGATGTTTGAACCAGCAGAATATTGGAAGATGAAAGTCATGATTCAGGAAGGAGCAGGCTATCAAGTTCACCTTATGCTTCCTTTCGAAGTACTACTTTGACCTTGAAAATCTTACTTGTACCTAAATGTAAGTCTGGAGATAGAAATGTATGTTGTAGATGAATTCAGCCTGTTAGCAGAATTGTGGAGTAGCTAAGAAACACTTGCTATTTTTGTGAGTCCAAAGATGAGGAAATAGTTTGAGGACCCCCTGGAGAGCCGTGCGCCCTCCGGGACAGGGGCGGTCACTTCCACATTGGAGGCCACATGGAGAGTTTCTTTACTTCTTGTCTGTTTTGGACGTCATCTTGTGTATTTGATGGTCTCTTTGGCAAGTAGGTTAAGTATCACTTGAGTCATAATAGGAGACAGAAATGATTTCCGTTCACTCAGCTGTGTTGAGAAATAATCCCCATAAACCTGCTTGCATCCCTTTAGCCTATATATCCTTCAAATTATGGGAGAATTAAGGAGAAAGGATGATAGTCATTGGTGATGGCTTTTGTGTGACATGACGAAAGTCTGCAGGCCACCAGCAGAGGTCAAAATACGGAACCGATGAGTGAGCAAGTTCCCTAGAGGAATCGTGCCTTCTGGGTGTCCTGCTCGGAACCCGAGTTGCCGTGCCCGACAAGCTCCTTTTCACAGTGATGGTGACTTTCCTTAGTTGAAGGTCGACCTTGCTTGGTGTCGGATGAAGTGTGTTTTGGTGGCTTACACACGCATGCTGTGGCCCCCCACCCCAGCTCGGGCCCGTTTCCTTCGTTTTAAAGGTACTTTTAGGAAAGGGGCGGACTTGTTCTCTCTGCCAGTTTTTCTGCCCGCCCCCCCCCCCGCCTCGTGCCCCCTACCCATGCGCAGTAGGAAATAGCTTGGATTTTCTGGATCTCCACTTTATTTGCGCCCCTCATACTCCAGCTGTTTGGTATTCCAGGTGCTGGTATCTGTCTGCTCGGCTCACCGGCCTGGGCAGTGTGGTCCTCGTGTTGGGGATGCTTGTGCTTTGTTCGCTTCTTCCGGGTCTCTGTGGTAAAGTCTGTACCTGTCGTCTTGACTCTTCCGATGCAGGTCTGCAGACTCCTACTCCAGAGTTCATTGTCGACGTGGAGTCCATGGACATCTTCCCCGTGGGCTGGTGCGAAGCCAACTCTTACCCTCTGACCACACCACACAAAACAGTCTGTAAGTATCGTCCAGTTGGGAGCCCTGTGGACAACATGTGGGGCTTGGGGGGGTAAATAGACAGTTCTGTGAAGAAACGATAGCCAGGTTGTGAAAAACAGACCCGGTGTTAGATTTACCACGGAGCGCCAATATTTTTATCTCGTGGATGCTTTCAGTATCTTCGAGAGATGGATATTTGGAAGCACCTCACAGGTTGACAAGCTAAGTCATAATGAGAAGGCAGGTGAAGGTCGTGGAGTGGCAGAGATAATAAAATACAAATATAATAAGATCTGTAAAGATTGTATAAAATAATATGTAAACATATATAAAATAAAATAGGTCTTCACTCCCAATTTATAGTTCATTATTTTGATTAGAGAAAATTTAAGCTAAATACTATGTGGGGTTTTTTTTGTTGGTTTTTGTTGTTTTTGAGAGGGGGAGAGAGAGTGCATGAGTGGGAACCCTCCTACACTCTTGGTGGGAATGCAAGCTGGTGCAGCCACTCTGGAAACAGTATGGAGGTTCCTCAAAAAGTTAAAGATAGAGCCAGCCTATGACCCAGCAATTGCACTACTGGGTATTTATCCAAAGGATACAAACATAGTGATCTGAAGGGGCACCTGCACCCCAATGTTTATAGCAGCAATGTCCACAATAGCCAAACTATGGAAAGAGCCCAAATGTCCATCAACAGATGAATGGATAAAGACGATGCGGTTCATATATACAATGAGATATTACTCAGCCATCAGAAAGGATGAAATCTTGTCATTTGCAATGACATGGATGGAACCAGAGGGTATTATGGTGAGCGAAGTAAGTCAGAGAAAGACAGATACCATTTGATTTCATTTATATATGGAATTTAAGAAACAAAACAGATGAACATAGGGGAAGGGAGGGAAGAATAAAATAAGATGAAAACAGAGAGGGACACAACCCAAAAGAGACTTTTAACTCTAGGAAACAAACTGAGGGTTGCTGGAGGGAGGTGGGTGGAAGGCATGGGGTAACCGGGTGATGAACATTAAGGAGGGCATGTGATGTGATGAGCACTGAGTGTTACATACAACTGACAAATCACTAAATTCTACCCCTGAAATTAATAATACAGTATGTGTTAATTAAATTGAATTTAAATAAAAAATTAAAAAATTGAAAATAAAGTTAGGAGTCCTTAAAAATAAGGGGTTTTGATTTTTTGGTGAAATAGATATTTCTAGTATTTTCTTTATGTAATTTGTATGCTAGCTTTTCTTTCTAGCATCCTACTCTATGGTTCATTTATGTCGATGCTCAGGAAATTACTAGAAAAGGAAGTTCCATCCTATAGTTGGCTTCCTATCCCCTGGTGTCAGCAGAGTTTGAAGGACAGTTCCATTCCATATCCATTAAGAGGAGGACGGTGCACTGTGTGAAACAAAGTAGGTCGCCCAGATTGTATGCAGGTGGATTTTAAGGGATTCTTCTCTCCCAGACACCATACCGCTCAATGAATCTGATCCAGTGAGAGTAATGTCCTCACTTTAACATATTTCTAAAATTTTGAGCATAGAATAATTTTTTTTCAATCTCAAGGGCGTTCCGTTTTTGTCCTCTCACAGTGCCACAGATTCTTGACTCAGTTGGCCTGAGAGCCGGGTCAGGTGCTCCCTGGGTTTAGTCGTGGGTGGGGCCGGTCCCCTGGGTCTTAGTTGTGCCTCGGACAGAAACTCCTGTCTTGTGTCCTCTTTCTTTCTTACTAAAAGCATATTTTAGAATAAAGTAGTTAGTGTTTAAAATAGAGCAACCCTACAACCCAGCAATTGCACTACTAGGTATTTATCCAAAGGATACAAACATAGTGATTCGTTTAATTTTATTAAATGCAGTAAATTCTATTTAGACTTCATTTCTGATGAGTCAAAGTCTCTTTTAGATTTATTTATTTATTTTAGAGAGAGATTGAAAAGGGCAGAGAAAATGAAGGGGAGGGGCCGAGGGAGAGAGAGGGACACGCAGACTCCCCGCTGAGCGCAGAGCCTGACATGGGGCTTGATCTCAAGACCTTGAGATCATGACCTGAGCTGAAACCAAGAGTCGGGTGCTCAACCAACGGCACCACCCAGGCACCCTGAGTCAGAGTTTATTTATTTTAATGCTGGAAGAAAATAAGATAAAGTTGTGGCATGAATGAAAAAACTTTCCAGTGTTTAAATTGTTTCTTTAAAACTGACACAGTTTTCCATGAAGACATTTTTTTTAAAAGATTTTATTTTAGAGAGAGAGAAAGAGAGAGAGCGAGAGCATGAGAGGGGGCAGGCTCAGAGGGAGAGGCAGACTCCCCGCTGAGCAGGGAGCCCGATGCAGGACTCGATCCCCGGACTCCAGGATCATGACCTGAGCCGAAGGCAGTCGCTTAACCAGCTGAGCCACCCAGGCGCCCCCATGAAGACATTTTTAAAAAATGCTTTTGCCCAACTCGTGAACGAAGCTGACTGTCCTGTTGCCCTTTCTTGCCTGTTTTACAGCACAAAAGAAAAGAAAGATTGCAGTCGTGCAGCCAGAAAAACAGTAAGTTTTTGTGTTTTGTTTTTTTTCCCCAAAACTTAGGTGGTAAACTATATAGAACTGTCTTTAGAGAGAATAAGGAAGTGTGGCTGTTTTTATCAGTGAGTGGGTTGGCAGAGATGATATCCAGAAATACCTGTTGTTGTTTATGGTGCACCTGTTACGGGTAAGACACGCCTCTTCTAGGGATGTCTTCTCCGGATTGCAGTTTCTCCCTTCCGTCCCCCCTGGAGGGCATCCTGGCCTCACACCCTGATAGTGAAAGCCCTCTTTGAGGCCCCCCTGGCCACGCATCACTGTCCCTGCCCACACTCAGTATGCTGGCGTCACGGGTTGCGGGCGGCCTGGCAGGCTGACTGCCGTCTGAGGCCGTCTCTGCCAGCCCCCAGCAAGGTGTCCTTGAGGAAGCTGCTTAATGCTCTGCGTCTCGATGCCCTCCTTTGTGAAACACCTGTTTCTCAGGGGGTTCATGAAGATTAAATTAGATTTCCTGTGGGGAAAAAGAATTGTGTGGGTTGTACAGGGTTAAGTCAATGTAAGTTATCCCCCATTTCAGTTGTAATTTTAGGGAGAAGGAGGGTATCAGGCAGTGTGCATACCTGCAGTATGTTTTTGAAAAATTCCCACCATTAGTAGCATTTTTATATATTGAAGAAAAGCTGAGGTACACTAAAATACACACCCTTTGCCAGGTGGTTCTGTTTTCTAATAAAAATACACTGGTGGAAATGAATTTGATCTTTTCAGATACCCAGGTTTAAACTTAAAATGTAATTGAATAACGACTGCATGGCTATTTGAATGTGAATAACAGTTTTGTGGGCATTTTCCATACATTCACGTCTAAACACAGTGTAGCAGGTTAATAATCTGACTCCAGTTTGGTCTGGATAACATTGAAATCGAGAGCAAAGAATAAATGGTCCCATCATTGAATCCAAATCCGATTTTGTAACTCCTCAGTTTATGGCCCGGGGATCCGTGGTCCCCATCCTGCACTTGCACCAGTCACCCAGACAGCTCGATTGCTGGGTCCCCATCTCCAAATCCCCTGACTCAGGATGTCTTTAGTGGGGCCTGAGCATCTGTGCATCTAACAAGTTTCCAGGTGGTGCCAGTCCTCTAGTGTGGGGACCCCACTTTGAGAACCAGTGTGAAGAGACCCCACTGAGATTTCGTGATGGTTTGCTCTGCGTTTGTGTCATTTTTCAATGGTGTGATTTCCACACTGCCATCCTGGTTACCCTGTAAAAACCAACACACCTCTTTTCCCCTACGGCTACATTTTTAATGTTTATTCAGCAACTTTTTTACTGAATGATAACACAAAGCTCTGCCCTAGGCTAGGCCTACTTCTCATTCTAGGACTCATCCGTTCATAGGCTTTCTTTGAAGGTCTTTCTAGTGTGGCCGTGACCCACACAAGCACAAAATCAAAGGCCGAGCAGTTCTCAGACACTAGGTTGTAGAAAGTACCAGTTTCTTCTATTGAAGTCTGACTTCCGTTAAAATCCACGTGAGTTGATGTTTCTTTGTGTCTAAAATATAATGAAGGGCATTATGACAATTCCATAGCAAGAGACAAGCCAGGAGCCTCCTAGAAGAACATCGCTGATTAGGGATGACAACTTGAGGGGCAGACATGCCATTGGCTTCTTAGGGTCATTACAGGAATTTGGAGACGACCTCTCTGAAACGGATAAGTCTGTACTGACGTTGCTGCTTGATGTATATGCATCCTCAATTACTGTGTGCTTGGATTTCTGTGATAATCACTTTAAGTTGTGAAAAGGCTTTGGAATTAATTTAATTAATGTTATTCATTAGTTGAGTTCCTTCTCAGGTGTGCGACCCGTGATGGTTGTATTTTCTTGATCAACAGATTGCCATCCACAGTGCCTGTTGAGAAGATACCTCATGACCTTTGTTTATTCTCTCACCTGGACACCTCAGGTAAATGAGCCCACTTATGGCTGGCTGTCCCGTCCCAATTTGGGAGTGGAGACATGCATGTGTTTTTAGGTCTAACATAAGAATATTTCAATTTTGAGTTCATTCTCTTTGTTTCTTTTGCTACTTACTAACACATACCTACTTTAAAAAAATTTTTTCTAAACCGGATTCTCTGTGCGCCTTCTGTCTCTTGGTCAGTAGCTCTAGACACTTCTCTCGGTCTGCAGGAGAAGAGTCCATGTGTTCCTTGGAAACTTGGGCCCAGTTAGGGTTGTATGTCGTGGATGGTCATGTGCAAGGAGAAAGAATTGAAATTATCATTATTAGGCACTCATTTTTTTTTTGACATTTTATGTCATCCCACTTGCATTTTTCATTACTGGTTAATATTTAAGTCCCCATGGGCTTTTGAATTGTTTCTTAAAAACCCTCTGTGTTTGAAAGCTGAGAGTGAATAATATATGTTTTATAATGTGTAAAGTTCTGTATCTTACATTAACCTTTGAAAACGCAAATGTGAATCCCCCATTGACAACAAATCTGATTATAGATGTGTTTGTACATTAAATAATATATTTGATTACGAATTCTGTTTTCTAGCCAAAGTGAAACCTGCTCTGAATTCTTCCAGGATTCTAAGCTATATGCCATGGAAGAATCCTAGCAGTCGAGGTTATAGTAAGGAGAGCATTTTTATGAGTAGACTTAACTAAAATTGTTTTTTTTTCTAAAGTTCTGGGTAGGGTAATCCTACCAAAAAATTTCCATGTATATGCAGCTGTGGACATAATTCTTTTGCCTAATTTTGTTGTATAGAATTCAAACTTCAGAATGGTTTTAAAAGAACCGTGTCAGCTCTTCTTTCAGAGTCTATAATTGTTATATTACTCCTTTTGTCTTACCCTCACAAAAATAACATTTCTCCCTCGTTCCCTGTTGGTTCTTAGTTGAAGTCCTATGAGGACGGTCCCTCCTGGACTGTTAAGTTACCGTCCCAAACTAACAAGTTTTGGTACAGAGATAACCACCGTTAGTGGAGCTTAGCTTGGGGCAGCGTGGGGGAGGGTGAGTCTTGGCTGACAGCAGAACCCTGTTACAGACATCAGGAAGCTTTAGGGTAATACCTTACCATTTATTCTTCCACGTTTCCCCATGGCCCTTTGAGACACAACTAGCCCAACCACCTGCTACGTTGAAAGCACAACGAAGGAAATGCAGATTCAGTCCACGGGAGGTACATTGCACGTCCATGAGATTGGCAAAATGAAGACGCCCTGCCATGTCGAGTGTTGGCTTGGATGTGGAATAGTGGCCACACCTACGCAGTGCTCGTAGGCGCATAGGCGGAGATTGTCTGCGTGGGGATCAGTTTGGCCACGTGTGGTACAACTGGAGACATGCCGACCCCATGGCCGAGCAGGTCCCCTCCTCGTGATATACCTGGAAAGCTCTCTTGCCCGTAAGCAGAAGCCGATATTTACAGCTGTCCTCAGCAGAGCACTGTCGGTAATTCCCGAGCAAGTGGAAATGACTGAGCGTCCATCAGCAAGAGAGTGGGCCACTGCTTGTGCTGTGTTCATGCAATGGGTCACCCACAGAAGTGACAGGTGGATGAACGTGCTGCACCGACTTGGGTGGATCTTAGAAACTGCCGGTCGAACAAACAAAATGTTGCGGAAAACCATATATGGAGTATTTTTAAAATATCCAAAATACCATGCATTACTTGTTGACACACATCTACCTGTGTGTGTGTGGTCAAGTTTATAGACCTGTGTGGGAATGATAAACACCAGAATCAGGGAAGGGGAAGAGAAGGTGGGGGAGTTTCTAGAGTAGAAAACCCGGGGGAGCTTAGGTCCGGAGCTGGGGTGGTTTTTTGTTTTGTTTTGTTTTTTTGTTTTTATTAGCTGCATAGCAGTACATTAGTTGTCATTGTCTTGGTTTTAGCATCTTTTCATGTGTCTTGAATCCCGCATCATAAACGGAGAAGTTCGTTTATATGGTAGCAAAAAAATAACCCAAATTTCTAAGCTACTGTGTTTATAAGACGTTCTGATATTAAGACACAGTGGGCCTCTGGGTAATTTTGCCAACTAAGTGGATTAAGCAGGTTTTTTTGTTGGCTCCTAAAGCATGAGCTGTGGTGCTCTTCCCCACAGGTACTGTCAACGGAAAATACTGCTGTCCTCAGCTTTTTATCAACCACAGGTGTTTCTCAGGCCCTTACCTGAACAAAGGGAGAATCGCAGAGCTACCTCAGTCGGTGGGACCAGGCAAATGTGTGCTGGTTCTGAAAGAGGTAAGGCATGCGCACGGGGGTCAGCGTTGGGGTATTTCCACAGGGTGTCCAGGATGTAGACAGAATTTCTGAAGGACATAACGGGATCGGGCTGGAGCTGGTCAGGCAAAGATGGGAAATAGCATTCCTGCCCGTGAGAGACTCACAGGCTAGCGGGGGGGAGGGTGGGGGGAGCTACACCTTCCTCCCCTGAGTCCGGGGAAACCTTGCAGTGGGTTTGAGGGCTGTGTGTGGGTCGGGGCCCAGGACTGCAGACTGGAGGTTTCTCTCAAGAGGCAAGTAAGGCTGGATGGGCGAGAGAAAATGCTGTTAAGGAGAGACGCCCCTTGGCGGCGTCAAGAGCCACATGACCTTTCCCCTCCGTGGGCCGTAGCCAGCACGGCGTCTGCGTGGAGGAGGCTCCAACTCAGGCTCCGGGGACTTGTGTGAAGTTTGTGTTGTGGGCAAAGCCCAGGCCGCGCATCAGTTTGATGGTATTCTTTCCCATTTCTCTTCCTGCCTTTGGGGGTTGACCTGCAGAGAGAGGTGAATTCTCATTATGTTGATGGAGGTTTTCATAGCCTCGTCACAGACCCCGTGTGGACCTGGCTTGGAATCCTGGAACCACTCTTGGAACTCGATCTCTGCTTTTTTCACACCTCTCAGTGTTTTCTCTTACGAAAGAGGACCCCACGTAGATCTTCCTCATCACTGCTGTTACCATGATGAATGTGTTTTAATCCCCGGGGCACAACAATCCGTTCATCCACTGAACACATGCCTGTGAGGCCACTGCTCAGAGGCAGGCACTGCGCAAAGTCCTGGGTCCGAACACAAGCCCTGTCTGCCCTCGGCCTACTGGGGCTTCGCAGCCCTGTTGGGGAGATGGCTTAATTCTAGGCTGAAAGTATGGTGTGTGTGGGAGGACACTCAGGGCGCAGAGCAGAGCGCTCTGGGAGCACAGGGGAGGGAGTGACAAACGGATGGTAAGGGATCCTTGCTCTGCTTGCAAAGGGAGAGCGCCTCACGTGGGAGCACGGCCGCGACTCAAAAGTGGGTGTCCGGGGAAAGAGTGTGGGTCCTTAGGCTGGGTGCGACTCATAGGTATAGAAGAGTGCATCCTGTTTTGAAAAGAACAGACGAGAGATCTGGGCGGCCTGATGTGTGAGGCAGGGCTGGGTAGCTGAGTAGCTTGAGGGAGGCCTTCTCTGGCCTTGTGAGGAGTGCAGACTTCCTGCTGCGGAGGACGGGAGCCTCTGAGCGAACACCATCCCCTCAGGAACCTCCACATGGTTTCACACGTCATTCTACTTAAAGCGAACGAGATCGTGTTAGCAGAGGCCGAGCGTGTTTGCTTTCCTAGGCCGTCCACGCAGTTAAAGACTTATATGTTCAGAAAACAAAAATCCCTTTAAGAGAGAAAGTTGAAGTTGTAGTTGAGAAGAAACTCTGTAAGGACGCTCTGATGGGGCCGTTGTTGTGGTTATTGACTTGGGAGCATTTAGCCTATAAATGTTCAGAGGAGGTTCCTGTCCTTCATGAGCTTCCGGTCAAGTGGGACAGACAAGCAGGCAGATCACGTATTGCAGAGTGGCGAGCGTCTCAGGTCCTGCGACGGGGCTGGCGCGGGTGTGTCGAGGTCCCCTGGAGTCCCCCGAGGTCTGTGCGGAAGGAGGTGTGGGCAGCCTGCACGCGGAAGACCTGGGGTGTCGGGGGTGCCCTGGGATGAAGGCGGGAAGATCGGGAAGGAAGGCTTACGGCATCTCAAGGGTAAGGACCTTGGAGGATGGACACAGAAAGGGCACAGATCTGGGTGGGCCTTTTCTGGGCCCCTGCCAGGTGTTCTGAGCAGCTGGGACCTGCTTTCATTTAAAGCAGCTCGCCTCCCGCGGCTGGGCCCAGCCTCCCGAAACTGATCGGTGCAGGTCTGGCCCAGCCGAAGTGGTTGACCTGTATCACAGATGACACGTTCGTCACTACGGAAAGACGGTGCTCGAGGCAGGTCCGGGGGGAGGGGTGCCTCTGAGAGGCCAAGGTGCCCCTGAAAGACCCGCTTCGGGTCAGTGGAGGGACCGCTGGTCGGTTCTGGATGAGGCGGCGCGGACCTCGGATCCCCGCAGATGTTGGACTGGATTGAGGAAGAGATCAAACCAGGACTCCGGGTCAGTATTCCCGTGACGACGTGAAATCACACCCCTGGACTGAGCACTGACCCTCCGCAGTCCGGCCCGCGAGTGGGTTGTGGGTACGGTTATGCCTGCCTATGTGTGAGCCTGTTTTTGTCAGGAGTGATCAGAAAGGAACAGGAAGGCCTGGCAGAAATGCGGTGAACCGGTGGGTGTCTTTGAGGCTGCCAGCAAGGCTGTTCGTCACAGCGAGCTCCAGGGATCAGCCTGCGGTCCCCGGTCACCTGCCAGCTCCGCTCGCACACACACTGGCCCCAGGTTCAGCCTGTCTTCGGGGGCTGGGTCTTTGACTGTCATACATGAGTTTTTAGAGTCAACGGTGGTTATCCCCGATCAATTCCCCAACAGGTGCCGGCAGCCAAATGCAAAAGCCAGGCCAGAGCAGTTTTCTGATGACAAAACTAGTTTTTTGCTGATGTTCAGAAAATGCATGAGGCAGGAAGAGAAGAAGAAGGAGGAAGAAAAAAAAAAAAAAGCAAGCACTTCAGTTCTGTGAGTGTAAGAAAAATGGGAGTTCCAGCAAGCCAATATTTATGCTAATGTGCTTCCTTCAGCACCAGAACCTCTATGGTTTCAAATTGCATTTTACTTAAAGAGAACAAGGTAATTGGAGCAAAGACAGAGCACGTTTGGTTTTCAGGCCGTGGGTGGTGTTAGCAGTTGAAGGTTTTCAGGTCTTTGGGAAATGCAGAGTGATGGCTGTTTTCCCTCTGGTCTGCTCAGAGGAGGCTGACCTGTGTGCGTGTGGGCAGAGCCAGTGAGGGGCCCAGCCAAGTCTGTCATCCCCACGAGGTACCCAGGACTAGCAGGTCCTGAGGGGATGGGGACAGGTTGAGCCTGTGGACGGCCCCACAGGCTGGGGCACTTCATGGGACCCCGGGCATCCCTTCCTATCCCAGATAGTCCTGCAGCCCACACCTGCCGCAGTGCATCAGGGTCTCCCCAAGACCTGTGGACCGCAGATCTGTGTGGCCCTCGGCCCGCTGACGAGGTTTGTGTGTCCTGGTGCTTCTGCCGCTGAGGATGTTGGTGTTGTGTCGCAGAGGTGTTGGGGGAGGTTCTGCTAATACTTCAGATGTGATCTCCCGAATGGCCAGGCCTGTGACCCTGCCTTCCTGCACCACATAGTAAGGGAGGGTGGTGCTGTATGCTTGTGTCCGGGCGTGAGGGAGAGAGAGCACGAGCACAAGAGGAAAGGAGCGAGCATGGAGCATCTCACACCCTTACTCATGTCCGTGAGCCCAGCGATGAAAAGTCCTGCCAGCAGAAGGGACTCTGAAAACACCGGCTCAGGAGGAATTAGTCTCCGTTTTCATGGTGATGCTGACGTCCATGGATACACAGGCCCCGTACCAGGGTGACGTCCCAGCATGGCTGACAGGGGCTGGGGGAGCACCTGTGGTTTTTCTGAAATGTTACCTGGCTTGAGTTATTTACCCATATGTAACCTCTGGTCTTAGCAAGCAATAGAAATGTCCTGTCCAGTGGGAAATCTCTAGTAGTCTTTTTTCACGTTTTCCACGTCACGGCAGAGGCTCTGGATCCACGTTGGCTCGGCAGCAGAAACGACCTGTCCGAGCTTTACGTGCTGCTTTTGAGCATTTACAGATGCACTTTCCTGTGAATAGGTAGATGCATAGCCCTTGCCTTTCTCTTCCCTTTCTTCTTCCTGAGGCTTTAATAGAAGGCTTAGGAGAAAGCAGCCTGAATGCTGGACACTTGGGAGACTTTCTGAAGCGATAAGCTTCCATGGCTTTTTCTTTCCTCCAACCTGTGCCCTGGATCTGGATCTGACGTGCAGATGAGGCTGAATGCAGCGGAATAGACTGATAACATCAAACACGGAAGACTAGATGGAGCTTCTGCTCTGCCGAGGCAGGGACATTGTTCGTGATGGTAGTGGGATACAGATGCACACGTGTGTGGGCACACCCACCCCACCCACTTACCTGTCCATCCAGCCATCTTTCTACCCTGGATCTATCCATCATCATCTCTATCGTCTGTCTGTCCATGCATTCATCCATCCACCCACCCATCCATCTGGTTAAGTCAGTCATCTATCATCTGTTTATCATTTCTATCCTATTATCTGTCCGTCCATCCATCCGTCCATCCGTCCGTCTGTCTGTCTGTCTCACGTACCTGAAACAGTCACTTTGGTACTCTTCATGGCAGCCTGGTCCAGGGATGCAGAGGCTGAGGCATGACCAGGGAGGCCTGCCTTTGTTCGCAGAGATCGGGTGGTGAGAAGTCTAACTTTGCAGAGGGTGGCTGAGCCCACGAGCAGGAGCCGTGAGTGCCGGGTGCCGATGCTCAAGCCTGGGGCTGCTGGACTGGGTTGCCACCAGGCGGCAAAGGGATCCTGGAGGAGACTGGAGCGCTCACCTTCGCGGAACGAGATTTCTCTGTCCATCGGTCTGCTTCTGTGATCTTCATAGCTCTGTGGCCCCAGCAAGTGCTGAGGAAGTGGCGAGGGCGCTGCAGGGTGCCACTGTGGTCCGGGCATGGTTCTCTTCAGCTGTCCACAACCGTTCGAGGGTGTTTCGGATACGAAGGTGCTGGGTTATTCCACACGCAGCAGATACTCACTGAGCAGGGACTCTTCCAGCGCTGGAACCCGGCAGGGAATGAAACACAGTCCTTCCTCCGTGCATTCATTCAGGCCCCGGGAACTCACGAGTCGTACCTTCGTGCCAGGTGGGCACTGTTCTTGGAGCTGGGGGTCACGGTGAGCAAGAGAGGCGGCCCCTTCCTTGGTGAGTTGACAGCCTGCCTGCAGACAGGGGAGGGGGCCTTGTCTCTCTCCCTCTCGGCCTGTCTCACCCTAGCAAA